CGTCGCATCTCCTGAATTCAGAAATCAATGGCAACACAGTTCACTATAACCCCAACCTCGACACTTCCGCACAAAATCCTCTACTTCCGCCAACTCAGTCGGCTTCTACATCGATAAAATCAATTAATATTGACCCGTCCCCTGTCTCAGCGCACTAGACGACTGAAAGGATAGTTTTAAACAAACTGCATGGCTTTTCCAGATAATGATGGTTTGTTTATACCCAAAGGAGGGAAAAGTCTAATTGTCTTGCCAATCGCCCCCATCTGGCGAGTTTGCAAAGTGAATAGGATGTTATGGGTTCGTCACCACCCATACTGCTCATTATTACCTGCGAATTCATTTTCAGTTAATGGGCCAGAGAAGGTATGTGAGAAATAAAGCGCAGAGGAACGGTCGACTTTATTCAGTTACGGCTCATTTATTGCTTTGTCGACTGATTTCTAGACAAAATGAGTGCTTTGCAGTAAATGATTCAATGGTTTAATTATTTATAGGACAAAAATGAGAAAGGAAATAAAAGTTTAGATTGGCTTTTAGTTACATTTTATGTTCATTTCAGTTGCACTAAAATTGGTAATAAATGCTGATTTTTTTTGAATTTATTATTATTATATTTTAAATTGCAATTTTGAAAATTTTATTTTCATCGTAACAAATTGTAAATTAAAATTGTAAATTAATTCGTAATAGCACTAAAATTTTTAACCAACGCTTATTTTTCGGGTTCATTTTTTAATTATATTGCAATTTTGAAAATTTTGTTCTCATTGTAATAGTAACTTATAAATAAGGGGAGTCGGTAGGGCATCGATCAATAAAGCTAGAGATGTCCTCTTTTCGGTGTACCTTTTTCTAAAACTTCACTTATGATATCACTCTGAAAATGTTTTTTTTTTTGGGGGGGGGGGATTTCAGATTTTATCAGTTGTATACTGTGATAATGTTTTAGCGTAAACAGGAATAATTTTTGAGTTATGACAGATTTCTGAAGTAACTTTTTTAAAAAAAGTAAAAGTTCTCAGTTCAAAATTTAAAAAAAAAATCTGCCAAAGATATGTATTAGCAGTTATAACAGTGCAGACATATATATGTAAATATTCTGTGTAAGAAAAGAACTGAAGCAATATCTTGTTTAGATGCTGAGAAAAGGTACATAAAAAAAGATCAGTTTTATCATTATTGGTATATTCCCTACCGACTTTCTTAGCATATTCTTTTAAGTGAAAGTAAAAGCAATTTACTGCGTTTTTCAGATGATAACATTAGTATGCAGTATTTTTCTTTCAGACATAGACACGAGAAAATTTTAACCGCGAAAATGATAACATATTTTATTTGATATGGTCAATGCATTAAAATGATATACCAGTTTCCCCCCCCCCCTAAGTTAACAATAAGATGTTAAAGTTTGTTGAACAATAAAGATACAAATATGTTTCCCTTCCTCCTCACGTCAGCATAAAAAAAAACTTTATAGAATATTTCAAACTTGTATTTTTATTATTTTTATGAAAAAGTATAAGCTTGAATTTATAATTAGAAATATACCTTAGGTAACTTTATGAATAAAGAATTACATATCTTTATTTTTTTTTCATTATTTTAAATTTATAAAATTCTACAAAATATTTATCATCATCCCAATACAAAAAGACATTTCATGCTTGTATTTTAAAATTTTTAAACAGAAAATATAAACTTTAATAACTGGCGTTCGTGGTTTTTTGCTTTGCATAAAATAAATATTTAATATCTCCCCCACCCCCTTGTAAAATGTATCTCGTTATGAATATAGGAAGAAAAAATAATGCTTCAACCGCATTCAATCGCCGCCAATTTTTATATTTTTACTACTTTCAAGAGAAGAAAGATTTTTTGTCATAATGTAGCATGTTTGGGCAATATTTAAATTACATCTTTCAAAATATTATTCTAAAAATTTTTAAACCTTTGTTTAAAAAGGAAATTTTTCTAGAATTTGAGTTCAAGCTGTATTACTAATGAATGTAATCATAGTCATTTATAAAGTATTGCAATTTTTATAAAATAAAAGTATTCCAATGAGAATAACGAATTGCTTATAAACATGATAAGTTTGATTTATAATATCAATAATTATATTTTTTTGAATGTATGTTCGTTATAACAATTGGAAAAGGATAAAATATATTTGCTTGGCTTTAGACACGTATATAAAAGCATGATTATTTTATAATTACTTTTAAATAAAATTATTTCGTTATTATTTTTATCTTTTCTTAACTTTTAGTTTATTTAATGATTTACTCGTTTTTTTTGGCAAAGTATGTGTAGTATCAACTAAAAATTCATGATAATTCATTAATATGTATAAATTAATAATTCATATCATGATGAAATTCTTTTTAAAGAAACAAATACTTCTATAATAGCTAATATTAAAAGATTTTTTTAAGTATTTATACTCGAAAATTTCATCGAATGATATTTTTATCAAAATTTCTGTAACATTGGAAATTACAATTAATTTTATTATCATTAAAGAAAAAACTTTCTCATAAGTTTGTTTGCTGTTGTAAAAGATGCCATGCTGGGATTTTCAGATTATTTCCAAACTTAAATTAGGTGACCGATTTGCCAACATCTAATCTTTTAATCATATTCTGAGAGATTTTTCAAAATTTTTTTAAAAAATCCTATGATAAATTGAGTTTTAATTTCGAAAAAAGATGCCTTGAAATTTTTTCAATAAGGCTCTTGTTCCTTTTAAATGTATATAGAAGTTGTCAATTATACTTCTTTGCATTTTATTAAATACTCTAAGTAACTTATTTCATAGTTGTACCATAATATCGATACTTTGAAATATAACATGGTGATAATTTGTGGAAGTGTTTATACTATGTAAAATTTAAAAATGTTGATCCTTTATTATTGTTTTGAAATAGTATCATGTAATCAAATTTAGGAAGTACCTTAATATGGTTCAATTATTCATTATGCTAAGGATGTAGCTAACTTAAACGATATAGTTTATATTTTTTCAAAATGACTAACATATTAAAGAAAAAACATTCATATACACTTACCCTAAAAATATTGGAATATTTACTGTAAAAAGTACCGACACCCAGGGAGCCGGTACTTTTTGTATTTGTAATAGTAAAATCTGCTTTTACCGGAATATGTTACTGCGCAAAAAACCTGATATACCATAATTTTTACAATAATAATCACAGAATCATTTTAATTTAATAAAAAATACTATAAGAATTACGGTATAATATTTTATGGTAAAAATGGATTTTATACGGATGATGTGTACATGCCGGTACTTTATACCGAAATTTAATCCGGAATTTTCCACGGGATACCTGATTTGATTTTAGCTTTCAAAGAACTTATATTATAAAATTTTATCGAGTGATCTCTTTTTATTGCTATTTCTGCAACCTTGGAAAATTACAATTTATTTTCTTATCTCAAAAGAAAACTTTCACTTCTAAACGATAAGCTAAAACTTGAGACGATGGAATTTTTAGAGGGTTTGAAAACTTTGTAATCGATTTTTTTCAACTTCTTGGTCCTCTTCCGAAATATTTCATCTCTTTTTAAAAATTGTATGTGAAATCGAATCTCAGTTTTGAAAAAAAAATGCTTCGTAACATTTTCAATGAGGCTCTTCTCCCAATATATATATATATANTGTATTTTATTTTCGGCCAATTTTTTTAAATTTTTAACAACAGCAACATCATGTAACAATATATATATATATATATATATGACTTCCGTCATGAAACTGTTTAGGAATCCTTTTTTCTGCCGGTGCAATCCATTTTATATCTGAAACGCCTTGTTCTGCGGGTATTGGGGCAATTGCTAGAATCGCCCTACATAGCTGCCTGATTTTTTTTCTTTCTTGAAGAAACGGGGAAATTCCAGTTGAGGAGCATATTGATATTCCATTCAAGAATATCTACTGAGATTAAAGGGTAGAAGGGGGGACATATATACACGTGACGTTTGAAGACTGCGAAATGTCCTACCTTCCATTTAGATTTCAGGGGATGTCCCCAAAGATAAGGCAATGCCTTGAGAATCCGGTCTAAATCGTCACCTGTCTCTCTGTCAGTTAAAGTGCCCCGAAAGAAGTGGAAGGCAATAGAGCGGGATGTGTCCGGAATTTTTCAAGGATAAGGAATTGGTCGTGTTATTCATTTTTTTTCTCGAGGAAGAATATTTTGGATAATGTATTTTATGAGAAGTATGTAGTACAAATTACGAATTCTATCTTCGATAGTCTATGCAAAATTTACTGGGGTAAGAAAAAAAATGCTTTGATATACATTTTGCAAAGAAATAAAAAGAAGTAAATGGAAAGTACTATTAAATTCCTTTTATCAATTTGGTGACCAACATTATTGATATGGACATAAACGATACCAAACGATGGATTTTACCTTTAATCGAAAAATAATATACATTCTATATACTATATATATGAATGTTGAGAATTACAACTTCACTTTCGTAAACAAAATGCATACATGAAAATGTATTTTAATATACATTTCACTACTCTCAATACTTTGTTAATGCGCAGCCATGTTAAAATTATTTTGTTCATTAAATAATTTTATTGAGTTTGATTACCCAATACCGTGCATCAACCAAACTTAATCCTTTCTCAATTTAACACCTTATGAAGTTAGAATTAAATTTACGCGATGTTATACGAAGTTATTCGAAAATATAGACCTGATTAAATGAATTTGTCTGAATGAATTAAGACAAATAGATTAATTAAGGTACCTCACATAATTTATATTTGAACAAAAGCAATATTCATATTAATGAAAAAGAAGGTATAAGTGTTATATATATGTTCCCTTTGTTGCTCAGAAAGCATCTAAGTGGTAGCAGAAATTTTCCACTCAAGAAAAAACATGTCTGATATTACTGAAAGAACCGACTGAGTGCATGGTTCAGCATGTGGACTAAAGCTCTTATCAGACATGGGACGTAAGAGTCTCCTTAACATAGACTCACGTGGGATGAGATCAGAAATTCACAGAACACTTGGACTGCCAAAACAAATCTTGAAAATTCAAGAAGGTACAGCAGGAGGGACACAGTTCATCTGGTTGGGGAGAACTGTTAGCTGAAATAGGACGTAAATGCATAAATATAGCACTTATAGAAAATATCAATTAGTGTGGAATTAATTAGTGAATAGGTCTAGGAATACTTCCGTAACCCTTCTTGCAAATTCAATAACGCAGGAAACCTTGTGCTGCATGGCGGCTTTCTTATTCACAACTAGCACTGCCTGCTTTTCGGGATACCCATCCAAATTATCTATGCTAAATAGGAGGGATGGAGTTGAAAGAATCTTTAAGCTTTCTTCCTTTCATTAGTATGCATACTGTTCGTATCCAATTCATATTTTGTGAAAAACTAATTAAATTGGGGAAATCTTTTTCAATAATTCAGTACTTCAAACTACAGAAAATTTGGCTACTGTTGAACTGCTTTTTTCCTAACTTGTGTATTACTGTAATAAAATAGCAATACGAATTTCTTTTGAGATTACTATTTTTTACTAACTCAACAAGTTGAAATATTTCAATAAACACTGCTGACCAGAAAAAAACTAAAAGCCTTTAATTTTAATTAATTTGATTGCAATCTCTTGTATAAGGATAAACTAACACTGAAATCGGCTAACTGATGTTAATTTTTAATCCTATATGCATTTTGCTAGTTAATCATATTGCAATTTATTTATTGGAAATTGTATTTTTAATTTTATTGGTTGCAATTTATTACTTACTCTTTTTTATAAAATTTAGTAATAAAGTTCAGAAAATCCAAAATGGTTTTAACTACCTATTGATAAATTAACAAAAAATAAATATGAAATGGTAGACTTTATTTAATATTAATAATAAATATATTTAAGTTGAAAATAATACATTTTATATAGTTTTTTATAACTTAAATTTATAAATATATACTCCCCCCCCTTTTTTTTCTTGACAATTACATTTATTATTTTATTTTGCTTCTTCGTTGTTGCTTAACGAACAGCAAAAAATATTAATTGGTAAAAAAATTACACACGTACACTGCAAGAGTGATACAGGAATGCCTTTGCCACATTTCCCGATTCCTTGGCCTGCTTGATCTCAAGATATGATACTTAACGATCATATATGGGTCCATTAGGAAGGTGTGTCAGACTGCCTTCCAGTTTAGTCGATATAGCGATGTTTTTACAGAAACTGTGAGACGAGAAGCCGCCGAACACCATAAAGGATTTGTTGATCCTTAAGACCAATCGCATTCTACTTTCCCGCCAGATGTAATATAATAGGATACTATTACGCCGCACTCCTTCATTTGTATTTTTTAATCACTTTTATCAACGTTGTAGTTCCGAATGAAAAATTTCGTTTCATTCTCACGTTTCATTTTTTGGGCACTAATATTTATGGCAGAAAGTGAATATTATTATTTCCAATCCAGATGAAATGTACTAAATATGTCATCATATGATGGACTCCATATAAAAAATATAGAGGGACCGTGATGCAAAAGTAAAGAAACAATGAGAACCAAATAATTTTTAATTTTAAAAATTCCTTATTCAAGTTGTCAAAAAATAATAACTGTTCAAAATAATTTAATTTTTTTATTTTTACAAAATCTGATTAGTATATTTTCCAGTTATTAAAATTTCCTTAGAATTTTATTCACAGTATTAACATACATAATCACATAAACAAAAAATATTTTAGTACTTTTTTTTAAAAGCGATAACCACTAAAAAATGAATACCCAATATGCGCCATTTTCATCAAACCCAAATGTCCCAAATAAAAACAGAACATTCTATCAGAACTGATGTTCTTTTTCATTCGTTTCCATAGAATACCCAAATGTATTTCATAGCGACTGCAACATCCATTGACTTGGTATGGCTGATGTTTATTTAATGCACTTTCCACTGTATGGATGCAGCAAAAAGAGTGTTATGCGCTTGCGATATTTTGTTCTTAAATCTTTTTTTACGGTGTATTTGTTTCGAGTGTCGTCCTTTCCACATATGTGCTGAAATGTTTTCGTAATGTTTTATTAATGAGAGGATAGAAAGTATTTTGTTTGAAGCTATCTTTACTATTATTGATAAGCATTCAGTTCCAAGCTCTTACATTACTGCTGATGTGTTTGTATGTTTAGATGATTTGTTACTCTTCAACAAAAAACTCTCTGATGTCTCATCAGTTTTGGAAATCCGTTTATGGTTCTATTCAAAACACCCCTTCATATGTTTTATATAAATATTGTAGTTAAGTAATCAGGCAGTTTTTACGAATAAATTTAAAAGCATAAATACATAATTATGCACTAAAAAAACGAATACTCAAATATCATGAAACTTTCTTCGTGTTTGATTAAACCGTTTCTTGGTATATGCTCTGAGTGATTTTTTTTGTCGAATTAAGAAATAATTATTGTCACTTTTTTTCAAAGAAATGAATTTCATCGAAATCAACGTCATTCTATTTCTTTACCAAAAAAGGTACTCGTGGTGCATTAAGTACCTAACACTCCATAGCGTGGGCACCATATACGTTTATCAATGTCACCCTAACTACACGAAGACAGGTAGAGCAGAGAGACTCATTGCACCCATGCTCGCAGCAGGATTCCATCTCAATATTATACTGGTACGAGGTGAACTCCTTGACCACCATATAGAACAGGCCGCTTATTTTGCCTCTTTATTTTCGATCGTGTAATCTTCATTCTAGTTTTGTCATATTAGTTAACAATCTCAAAAAATTCTGCATTTTATTACTACTGGTTTTAAGATGCATACACATATGCACATATGTATACACACGAAAAAATAGTTATATAAATAATAGTTTTTGGAATATTTGTGACGTAACTAAGTAATCGAAACAAATTTACACCAAATTCAAAAAATTGAAAAATACAAATTTGTTTTAGATACATTATTTTACTCATATTATAAATTTCTTTAAGGCCAATATAAAAGTTACGTAATACATAAAAAAATAATTAAGAGTTTAAAAATTATTTAGCAATAATTTTTTCTATAATAATTTGCTCAATGTACATCTTTTGTACTTACCAGTTATTATCATGTAACAGCAATAATAGACGCTTTACAGAAAAAAAACTTGAATAGCAATTAATAAAAACGTAATGCAAATTACTGTTTGTTTTGTCTCTTAAAAGTAACTTTAAAACTCATGTTAAAAGCTTATAACTTGTTAGATAATCTTGAAAGTTTTACTTCATTTAAATTTCCTCAGAAAATGGGGGAAATGTTTTACTTTTAAAATAAAATAAAATAAAATAAAATAAAATAAAATAAAATAAAATAAAATAAAATAAAATAAAATAAAATAAAATAAAATAAAATAAAGTTAAAAGAAAATGATACTGAAACATATGCATTAAAAAAAGAAGGAAATTATTTATAACATTCCTTGACANAAAATAAAATAAAATAAAATAAAATAAAATAAAATAAAATAAAATAAAATAAAATAAAGTAAAAAAAATGATACTGAAACATATGCATTAAAAAAAGAAGGAAATTATTTATAACATTCCTTGACAATAAAAAAAGCTTTAATTGCTTTAAAAATACGAAGGAGGAAAAAGACGACGTGTTTCGAGCATTCTGAAATTGGCGCTCCTTCTAAAGACACGCAAGGACTATTTTTGAGCTTTCGAAGCAGGCCTACTTTATCAAATTCCATAATTATTTGAAGAAAAAGAAGTTTTTATATTATCAAGTATAACTTTTCTGTTTCATTTCTTTGGATTTTTCATGGAAAACAATTTCCAAATTGTTTGCCTCTCTTTATACTTATTCAATATTTTATTAAAATTCCTTCCAGATAAACCATAAAAGTGAAGTTTAGTCAAATATATATATAAATATATATGAAAGTTTTCTTTACTTTATACGAAATAGAATTCTTGCATTTCAAAGAAAATTGGAAGAATTAATTTTCTTTTCCCTAAAAAATATGTAAGTTTTATAAGAGATCTGATTCCTTTCTTGTCATTTTTATTTAAGGAAATTTGAATGTTATAAATAACATTCATTGTTTTAAATAACATTAGGTTCTGGAAAATTTCATCTCAGGAGATAATTTAAATTAAAAGTTTTAAACATAATATGCCTCTGTAGCATATTTTTTTATAATTATGGTTGTGCACTTGATATAAAAAATCGTATTTTCCGTAATATTATGCATAAAATTCCTGGTGAGATTTTTTATTTGTTTTTCAATATAAGACATAACAGTTAATATTCCTCATAAGAATTTTGTGTTTGAATATTACTCTAAGGCAGAATTTATTTAAATAATACATTGGTCTACTTTCAAACTTGATTTCAAAGCAGCATAAATCTATTTAATTTCGTAACCATTGTTTAGATAAATTAATACTGTTATATTAAACACATTATTTATGTGGTTTGATATAATTATTAATGAATATCCTAAAATTTTTACGATAACACAATTTCAGAAATCTGAGTGTTTGAATAACGTGTAATATGGAAAGCATTAGACTTAGACCAATTTTAGTTTTAATTTAAATTAATAGTAAAATCATTTAAAGTTCTAAGAATGGTGCCCAATCTCTACCCAAGCTCCTCAAATAGATCCCTTATATTTCATTAAGACTTACCATAAAGCCAGAATTTCTATCATGCTTGATTTCATCTAAAACAACGCATTCTGCCTTGATTTACTTTTAAACCCCGTAATCCTGTTTAATTGCTGAGCCTTTTCAAGCGGCATGCCCACAGATGACTAAGTGGTTAAAGTAATAGAAACGGCTCTTTTCCTACTACTTAGTTTATAACCGCTCCCCTGGAAACACATGAAAGGAAGAAAACCTTATTCCATCTAGAGCGTTCTTCTCAAAATTTACATTTGAAGGAAGATTTGAAGGAAGCTAAATCTCTACACAGAGGAATGACGGATTATATATTATTGTGTGAGAAGAGAAAGAGAATCAAATGAAGCGAAGCGATTCCCAGTGCATTGATAAAAGTC